GAAGCTAAAGGATATCGCTGGATAGTACTATTATATATTGGGGTTGCTCGGTACAGTGTAAGGTGGTATTACCGCTTTACACTCCTGGTTGTCCCGTACTACAGCCATGAGGTATACAAACAGCTACCAAGATGGCTACCTGGATTATCCTCTAGCTAAAGGGGCAAGAACAATATACAATGGTTTGGATGCATGTGACTTGGCCTTAGGTGTTGAGCCACCCAAGAACTACGTCAACCCCTTCGAGGATCTCATATAAGAAGTCTTCAAGGAATGTTCGAACATTCTTCCAGGGTTTTTCCCACTCCCCCCTCATTTCTTACTGTTGATCCCCCTGTCTCCAACTCCTCAGAACTAGCAAGATGGATCAATAGTTCGAGTTGAGGATCTTTCAATTTTTGTTAATGTGATCCCTACTAGAGATAGAAGAAAATTCGAAGTCTGCTGTAGAGAAAATTGTGAATGTTGAGTCTTCTCCTTCCTAATAGGATGATGTGCAACGTTTTTTTTAATTCCTTTTGTAACTCCAAGGCATGTGGTGTAACATTTGACTTTTCCATCTTTGTATTGGATATTTTTATCATATAATACCAGGAAATGTCTTTTGCTATTTATGATATTTTAGCTTTTTTTTTCTCTGCCACACATTCCACCTAACTTTTAGAAAATATATCTAAGTCTTTGGCGATCGGCTCTTTGTGCCACTTGTCACTGAACTTGTAATTTTGTTTGAAAATTTAACTAAGTCTTTGGTGATCGGCTCTTGATGCCATTTGCCACTCAACTTGTAAATTCTAAGTCTTTGGAAATCACCTCTTAGTGCCACTTGCCACTCAACTTGTAATTTTCTTTGAAGATTTATCTAAGTCTTTTACGATGAGCTCTTGATGCCACTTACCATTCTAACTTGTAATTTTCTTTGAAAATTTAACCAAGTCTTTGGTGATTAGCTCTTAGTACCACTTCTCACTCTAACTTGTAGTTTTCTTTGAAAATTTGACTAAGTCTTTAGCGATTGGCTCTTAGTGCCATTTGCTACTCTGACTTGTAATTTTCTTATAAAATTTGACTAAGTCTTTGGCAATTGGCTCTTGGTGCCACTTGCCACTCAACTTGTACTTTTCTATGTGAAAAATTAACCAAGTCTTTGGCAATCAGCTCTTAGTGCTACTTGCCACTCTGACTTGTAATTTTCTTTTAAAATTTGACTAAGTCTTTGGCGATCAGCTCTTGGTGCCACTTGTCACTCAACTTGTAATTTTCTTCAAAATTTTAACAAAGTCTTTGGTGATCGGCTCTTGGTGCCACTTACCATTCAACTTGTAAGTTTCTATGAGATCATCCTCCAAACTCGATTGGATGCTCTGCATGCTATTTGTCACTCAAGTTTAAAAAATCTTTATAGATAACTTGAAAGATTTTTTCAAGTTTCTGGTTGATGATCATTCATGCAGCTTATCATACTGAGAAGAAGTTATCACTTAATAATTTTATAACATTTACTTTTCATGAGAGGTTATATTAGCATTCGGCTCAACCTTACAAGCTTTTTTAGCATAAAATGAAAAGAAGGGAGGAAAGGATAGAATCTTTTATTAGAAATTCCTCTTTAGGTATGTGGCATTCCATGGCTTGTCAATCTGCCTGTCAATAAGCCTTTTGAGCTTTTACACTTCTTTCTCCACAACCTCAGTGATATCGAATAGTCCTTCCCAATGGGTTCCATCTTGGACACTATGTCTGTTTTTCTTTTTAGGACGAGATCTCCTTGGGAAAATGCTCTATGCTTGACCTTTTTGTTGTGGTTATTTATTAAAGTTTGTTGGTAAGAGGTTAGCCTTATCACTCTTGCTTCCATCTTTTCTTCTATCATATTAAGGTTCAGTTTGAGCATTTAACTGCCTTTGGGGAATACTTTGTTAAGGTTTATGAAGTCAATGCACACCCTCCACTTTACGTTCTTTTTATGTACTACAATAACATTTGATAACCATTGAAGGTAATACACTTCCCTGATGAATCTTACCTCAAATAGGTGATCGACTTTTTTGGCTATTATCTACATCATTTCTGGGGCAAATATTCTTTGCTTCTGATGTATGGGTCGAAAACTTAGATCAACATTTAACTTATGGCAAGCAACCTCTGGGCTCACCCCTGGCATATTTAGTTGGCTTCAAGCAATGACGTCCAAGTTTCTTCTTAAAAGCTCAACTAACTCATTTTTCTCTTCTTAGGACTACAGTGACCTACCTTTGTTGTCCTTTCTGCTTTGCGCGGATAAATTTGTACTTCCTCTAGCTTTTTTTTCAGTGAGGAATTGTTCATCCACCTCTACAATTTATTCAATTGACTTAGACAGAGGGCTTTATGATTACTATTTAGGGTCTTGGGGTTGGGTGATACACTTGCCCATATCTCTTGTTCAGAGGGTTATTGTGTAACATTCATTTGCAGTGACTTGGTCTCCTCAAATTTCAACCACATCATTTCCTTTTGGGTTCAAGCATCTCATTACCTAATGCAAGGTAGATGGGATGCCTGGCATGAGATGGATCCACCCCCTCCTCGTCAACAAATTGTATGATGGGTGGACGTCCATAATAATAAATTTCTCCTTATGGTTCCTCCACGCAACACATACCAGTAGTTCAATTACTCTAATCGGTTCCACCATTTTACCATCAAAACCAACCAATGGGTTCCCAGTCGACCTGATTTGTTTTGGGTCGACCATCAGTTGTTTGAAGGCTGACTTGGTGATTATATTGACATAATTTCCTGGGTCGATTAGGACTTGCTTTATAAGGCAACTAGCTACCATGAGGCTAATTATGAAAGGTTCCTCATGTGGTTTGCACCTTTTGAAGGTCGGCTTCATCGAATATGATCTGAGTTGGGTAGCTTTCCCTTTTCACGGTTTTGACACTACACAATCTTCTTAACTTCTGTGTTTGCCTTAGACGTGATTGGTGTCCTTTAATCTTCTCATCTTCCTCTGGTCGCCCATGTATAGTGTTAATGATCTAAATGGGATGTGCCTCTTGAGGGTTAGTAGCTTTATCACTCTATTTCATCGGGTTATGGTGCCCTGACATTTGGTTTAGGTTTTGGTGCTCTTTGGTCAATAAATAATTTGACAACTCACCCTTGGCGATCATTTTTTTAACCTGTCTTCTCGTATTTCTGCATTCATTGGTTTGATGGCCAAAATCGCTATGGAAGGCACAGTGCTTTTACTAGTCCTTTTGTCTGATCGGTTGTCTGATTGGTTGTGGTGGTGTGAACTTTGCCTTGTTCTTTAGAGGGGTTAAAGTTTTCTCCTCTCTCTGCCGTTTGGGAGGTCTCTAAAGAGCTGGTGGTGCTTCGATTAAAGACCTTTGGTTCTTCATCTTATCACATGATCGGCTCTCCACGACAACCATGGTGGTTTGTTGCATCCTTACTACCTCCTCTTCTTCTAGTTGTATGTATCCTTGAGCCTTAGCACTTAACGTCCCCATGTTTAGTGGGGTTTTCTTTGCTAATAAAGAATAGAATTTCATCCCTGGAATGATCGCCAGCTTAAAAGCTTCTACCACTGCCCTTTGATCATATTCATCAACCGTACTCATTTATAAGTTAAACATGATGAGGAAAGCTTGCAACCGTCTGCTACCTCATCATGAATAGGCTCGATATGGTCTTCTGAATGCACTATTTACCAAAGTACTAGGCATAAATAGTTCACATAATTAATGGAACTGCCGACTGTTAGTTTAGCAAGTGTTTGAACCAGTTGAGCGCTGGTCCAGCAAGGCTTGTTAGAAATACTCTGCCCATCAAAGTGTTATCCTCAGTGTGCAGAGCCATTTTGAGCTGCACATTGTAGATGTGCTCCATCGGGTCTTTTATCTTAACAAATGAGGTGAATATTAGGATGACAAACTTCTTTGGCTTGGGCTCTTAAGGATCTCCTTTGTGAAGGGGGGATTCCACTATGTGGGTGGATGTTCTGGCGGCCATGTCAGCTGATGTAAGCACCTTTAGCTCCTTTATTTGTTCTTCTATCTTCTTTTGAACCTGTGTCCTCATATCCATTTTGGATATTTCGTCAAACGTCTGGTCTGCAGTGGATTTTGCATAGTGGGAGGACTAGTTCCTTCTTACTCATTCGTCAATCCTTTGCACCCTAGGCCGATCTTAGGTCGGCGGGAGTCAAGGTGAAGAGATCCGACCTAGTCATTCTGCAATTGATCAACTTCGTTTATCGCCGCGACATCCACTAGAGAGGGCGGAGGTCGTGGCATAACATCACGCTCAAAATGTTATCTGAGCTCTGCGTTCTCTTGATGTAGTTTCGACTAGCTCTGCATTCTTCTGGCATAGGGTCTGAACCAGTTACCAGAGCTCATCCTGCCGATCGCTTCAATTCTCTCCTTGCTGACGCGTACTTCATTCTCCGATCATGGTTCCTGATCGTAGTTGTGTCATGAATCAAGTCGGAAAAGTACGAGATCTTACTCGTCGTTTCCTATAGACGGTGCCAATTAGGTGTAGGTACAGAAATAGGTTTTCTCCCACAAATGGAAAGTTTCCATACAATACACGATCCCCCTCCCACTATCTTTCTTATTTCTTTTATAGTGTCCGTGCATTACCCTAATATTTTTCCCTTTATGCCCACGTCTTGTTATTAATAGGCCATCTACTTGGCAAGTTGGCTTGACCCAAGTGGAGAGGTAAGTTTGCCTGGGCTAGGTTTACATTTTCTTGGGCCTATTGTTAGTGGCTCGGCCCATCTCTTGGGCATCTTTCAATGCCCATACTTGTGGGCATATTTGCCCTTTCAAACCCTTTCCCAGGGCATTGGACACCTGGTGGTCTAGGGCTGTGTTTAGTTAGCATGAATAGCAAAACTCAAAGGAAAAATGAAAATGATAGAAGAAAAAATGTACGAGTATTTAGTATATTAAAGCAAAAAATAACTTGCAAAGCTTGTTAAACTAAATGGATCGTACCAGTCAAGTTGTTTGCAAAAAATGAAATCCCTTTCAAAGAAGTAATGTTAAATATGGATGATGGAATGCGACCAATGAGGCGGGCATATCGTATCGATAATATCTCCAAATTACGAAGGTTACCCATGTCCTCCGGAATTTCACCTGCAAAAGAATTTATCATTTGTGTACACAAATTAATTTTGATATTATATTAATAATATAAGTATAAAACAAATGCTCTCAAGATTCAAACCGGTTTTCTCACACTTAATTACCATCGATATAAAACATTTCATTTTAATCATATAATTATAGATAAACATAACAAAATATGTGGCATGAATTTTTTTAAACTTGGCAAGCTACAAACTCACTATGAGAGCACATTAATTCAGACTTATAATTTTTTTTTTTCTTGAACAATTAGATGGAGAGGGAATCTAACATGGGCACACTAAATTGATCATAAACAAATTAAAGATAGTATATGTAAGAGTACCTTCCAAGTTGTTATTGCCAAGATATAACTCCGCGAGCACAGTTGAATTCCAAATCCCTCTACGAATGGGTCCATTGAATTTGTTAAATGATAGTGACAAAATTTGAAGTTGTGAGCACTCATATAAACTTGATGGAATTTCGCCATGTAACTCATTGTAAGATAGAGAAAGCCATTGGAGGTTTGGAAGACGATGGCACATATCCAATGGAAGATTACTAGATAAGCTATTTTTTGCAAAAGAAATTAGTTGCAGCGACGAGATATTGAAGATGGTTAGTGGCACAGAGCCTACAAACTGATTATATTGCATGTTTAGAATCTTCAGGTGTTGAAGATTACCAACCTCTTGTGGAATCATTCCATGTAGAAAATTGGAAGATAAATCCAAGTGTTCTAACATCGATATGTTGGAGAGGGAAGGTGGGATAGTACCTGTAAAACTATTGTTACGAAGAATTAACTCTTGCAGTTCAGATAAGACACCCAACCATGATGGAAGCTGTCCACTAAATTTGTTAATTTTTAAATTCATGAATTTCAATCGACGCAGATGAGATAATTCATAGGGAAGATGACCACTGAAATTGTTGGTACTAAGGTCAAGCGAAACGAGAAACGAGAGGTTACCTAGGTGTGGTGGAATTGTACCTTCAAGAGCCATGTTAGAAATATTCAAGGATGTCACTCGTAGGTGGCGAGTGCCGCAAGTGACCCCATTCCAGTTACAGATAGAAGTAGTTGTGGACCAATTGTTAGCCAAGACACCACGAGAGTTCAGAATTATGTGGGCTTTCAAGGTAAGAAGAGAAGATTGGTCACTAGTAATGTCGGTAACATTCCCAGCTAAACAAGCCGAAAGACAATGCACTAACAACACTACATGCAAAAGAGCAAAGCAAGTTCTCTCCATGAGTGTATGTGACTAATTTGGATTAATACAAAAATGGTGGGCATGCAAAACATAGCACAATGATATATATATGTCATAAATTTTAGCTGTACTGAAAAAAAATGGTAAGGTCTGAGTCTTGCACTTTGACAGAGATGGGATAAGAAAAAATGAAAGGTCTAAATTATTCCTTTAATTTTAATGGACGGCTGGAAGTGGTATTGATTATACTACACTAGAGCCAATGGTTCAGTGCACAATGTCAAAGAATCACATTTTCCACACGGAATAGAATGCAGAAAAGGGCACTAGCTAAAAGTGTCCCATGGGCTAAGACTGAATAGAATGCAGAAAAGGGCACTAGAAGTCTTGATTTGAAAACTCAGGCTCAAAAATCATTATTTATAACTTTGAAAATTCACTAGTGTTATATACTTATCATGGGGGACATATGAATTGGGATGTGAATGTGCGCGCATTATGTAAGTAGTAAATTGGGATGTGATGTGCGTGCGTTATGTAAGTGGTAACTGCACTTGTTAATGGTGCATTAAGGATATTGACTAATGCGAAGTTTAACTATAAATACGGATTGTTCATTGCTATATGTATGTACTTGGATTTAAGAGAAAAGAATAAGATCTTTCTAGCTCCACTATATATATTCTTCTCTCTATATTGTAGATATAATTTTATGTTCTATATTTTCTTTTAGATTCACAATACGTTATTAGCACAAATCTCTAACCAACTGAGACTTGAACGAAAAGCTCTCACTCCCTCTCTCTATCTCAACTGATATATCTTACTTGTGACATTAATTTTGATAGATGGTTGAGTTTGTTTACTTTGTTAAACACAATAGAAAAGAAAAAAATAGCCAAAGTATATTTCTATTGAGCGTATGTATATACATATATATGACAAATATCAAGTAATTTTCATTTATAGATAATCTTATCTTGGATTTTGTTTATATAAAGAATTCTATTTTAAAGAGAAATTTATTATATTTTAATTTCTGTTTTCGTATTATTAGATATCCCCAAGTGAATTTCCTTGTCAGCCCTACCCCAGGAACCACATACAATGGTTACTTTTAATATGTGACTTTGTTGACATTGCAAGTTACTAGTTTATTTTATGATGGGAAGTATGGGTGCTTCGAAAGTTGATCTAGATGAAATATCATGTGCAAGAGATACATTTACTAATATAAATTAATAAAAGGTAATAAAGTCCTGGAGTTACCTGTCAAGTTGTAATCATAGAGAGCTAGAATTTTGAGGGATGTAAGGTTCCCGGATTCCTTTGGTATACTATCAGTGAATTTGTTTTCTCGCAATTCCAATATATGAAGCCCTCTACATTCCCCCAATTTGGATGGAATTTGACCACTGAACCGATTGGTTGTAAGACATAGCACTTAACATTTCGACCAAAAACACTGGTCCCAATATTTACTTGATATGATGCGCACATATATATTTAAATTTGTCTTGAATAAATAAGATTTTGGGGACCACTGGTAATGGTCCTCGGTGGATAATCTCTTGGTTACTTGGCATGTATCATATTGGTTTACTTTTTTATATATTACTATGTTAAGAGTTTTTGGTTGTCCACCACGCTTATTATATATCTCTAATAGGGCTGGTAAAATGGGTAACAATCCATTAATCCCGTTTATATTCGTTTGTTTTTTAATGATTTTGGGTGAAACATATTTAAGATGTGTCAAAAATGAGTTGAGTAATTTTTAACCACTTAATTTGAGGGTCAAGATGGGTCGAATATATTTATCCATATTCAACCTATATTTCACCCATCACATAATAGATACACAACACACATCTATTCTATATAGCACGCAACTCATTTCTCTCTCTAAAATTCTCTCACTCAAAAATGAGTTATGTCCATAACCCAGTCCGAATATTTTGAGCAGATCGAGCGGGTCAAAATTTTTAAGAAAATTTTATTTTTAAAACATCAATATTTTGGGCGGGTCAGTCAGGTTTCACAAGTTAATTTATTTATTATTGTTATTATTTTTTTACAAATATACAAATTACATTTTCATTTTCCAAGTTTGTAAACATCAAAATTTTTAAGAAAATTTTATTTTTTAAGCATCAATATTTTGAGCAGGTCGGTCGGGATTCACGGGTCAAAATTTTTTTTTTTTTCAAATATTCAAATTACATTTTTCCTTTTCCATGTTTGTAAACATCAAAATTTTTAACAAAAATTTATTTTTAAAACATCAATATTTTGGGCTGGTCAGACGGGTTTTCACCGGTCTTTTTTTTTTTTTTTTTTTTTTATACAAATATTCAAATTAAGTTTTCCTTTTCCATGTTTGTAAATATCAAAATTTTTAAGAAAATTTTATTTTTAAAACATTAATATTTTGGGAGGGTCGGGCGAATTTCACGGGTCAAAATTTTTTAGCTCAAACTTCAAAATTTCTAGGCTGGATTAGCCCACCCAAGTTGCACCCTTACTCACGATCATCTCTCTAAATTTATCATTCATCAATCCCCTCTCTCTAAGTTTCTTTCTCTAGAAATTTATTCTCTTTCCTTCATTTCTCTTTCTAAGACGAGTCGACAAATATTACTGAGTTTAAGATTGTTTTTTTTATTTGTTATTAAATAAAATTTTAGAACCTTTGAAAAAAAATAATTAAAAATAAAATAATAATTATTAATAGGTTTACGGGTAATAACGGGTTTATCTTATATATTTTTGACCCACCCATTTTCAACCCGTTTTAAATGGGTTAAATAGGGGTCTTGCCCCATGTTTGACCCTCCCATTTTTAACCCATCCCAAACCCAACCAAACTCGCCCATTTGCCACCCCTAATCTCTAAGTATCTATATACAAATCAATTGTTGCGATAAGGGTGAAATTATTTACAATGTCTATGAAGCTATTACTAGCAACTAAAATATATACATGTGCCATATCATTCAGTTTGTACTTTGATTACACTTTTACTAATATATTTCCATCATCTCTTTTGTTACCAGTCTCATCTTTATTTATCTCTCTTTGCTATCTGATTGTGGATTTAACTTTATGATTCAGTTTGAAATGGGTGGAACATAAACAATGATTATTAATAAGAATGTTTACTATAAGAATCAAACTATGCACTTAAATGTAATTATTAACCACTGAGTCACTTGTTATTAGTTATAATAATCATACTACGCATAGATTAGTTTCAAGCTCATCGGCATGGAAATAGAGTTTACCTAGGCACTAGTCCAAATCTTGAACAATTTTTACAGGTAATCAAATAAAGTACAAAATTATTATATGATTACCTTTGGAATTTTATTAGACCTAGTCTTTTAATTAAATTGTTATATACACCATAGTGATCAAGGTACTTCATTCTTAATATTATGTTTTATATCTTGATACATGTCACACATGATAAAGGCTTGATTATGTTGCCTGTGCACAATTATTTTTTATGAGATCCATTTTATGAATATTGAAATTAAATTAAACATCTTTGGACTGCATTCAGTTTATGATAACTTAAAAATTGAATACATCATGGTGAAGGACCCACTTATTTTATGGTAAAAAAAAATAAAATAAAATAATTCACATAGTATCGTGATTCTTCTAAAAAGCTCAGTATGAATGGATGCAATTATGGTTGCAGAATTATGAAATTATGGACGAATATAATTCGGCCTTATTTATAATCAACTAGATTGAGATGATGTGGAAAAATAATTACTCATAAGTACATGTTAAAAAGAATATCACTTATCATGCTGAGGGCGTAGATTTATGAAATATTTGATGTGGAGAAAATATTATTGAAGGTCATATATTGACAAAAAGATACTCCACTGTTCACACTGAATGCGTGGATTTATGTACAGCTGATATCAGGTCGGATTATGGCAGAGTAAAATTATGAGCTTTTACTATAATATTACCAGTCCCATTAGATCAAACAATTTTTAAAGTGAAATCTGTTCATTTCATGATCATAAACATGGTTGTGGGTATAGTCATGGTAAAATTAGGACTGCAAATGAACCGAGCTGTTCATAAACAGCTCGGGCTCGGCTCGCTAAGGGCTCCGGCTCGGGCTCGTTCGTTAAGTAAACGAGCCGAGCTCGAGCCCAATTTCTAGGCTCGTTTAGTAAACGAGCCGAGCCTGAACAACGTTAGGCTCGGCTCGTATGAGCTCGTGAACAAGGCTCGTATAAGGCTCGTTTAGGCTCTTGAACAAAGCTCGTATAAGGCTCGTTTATTAGCCAATTATAAGTTCTTGATCCAACCCATATATATGAGACCATTACAATTATACATGATAAGCCTATTTGAAAACCATTACTATAATCTAAATAACAAAGCCTAAAAAAAAATGGCCCATATTCATTTTAAAGACCCAACCCATTTATGTTAACAAACAAATCCTATTTTATATTCAAAGTGTTAGCCCATATAATACATTAGTTTGGCCCAATTTACATCCTTTCATTAATAAGGCCCAAGGACCATTGGCCCATCATCAATTAAGGGTGCATCTTAGCAGTTGATTTTGGTACTTTTTAAGTGATAGAATAAATCCTAAAGAAGGCAGTTTCACCACATATCCATCTTCATAGCTTTACCACATAAACGCGCCGGAAGCCCTCACAAGCAACAGAGCTCCGATAAACTCCAACGCTGGCATCCCTCCCTAAGTCACTCATCACTCCACTCACTGCTGTCATCAGAGGAAGGCAAAAACCTTATAAGATCTAATTTTAACTTCTTTATTTGTGTTTTTTTTTCTTCTGTATTTTTTCTTTTTTCTTCTTCTTGGAGATTAAGATCTGATCTCATGAAAGAGAGCTTGTTTTGTTCTTTTCTTGAATCGGGAATTAATTTTACAACTTTGAAATTTTAACTTCTTTATTTGTTTTTTTTCTACTGTAATTTTTCTTTTTTCTTCTTCTTGGAGATTGAGATCTGATCCCGTGAAAGAGAGCTTGTTTAGTTCTTTTCTTGAATCGGGAATTAATTCTACAACTTTGGAATTTTAACTTCTTTATTTGTTTTTTTTCTTTTTTTCTTCTGTATTTTTTTCTTTTTTTCTTCTTCTTGGAGATTGAGATTTGATATCGTGAAAGAAAAGCTTGTGTTGTTCAGTTCCTGTTATGCAGAGTTAGGAAACAACAATTAGAGGTGCATGTAATCGAGCCCGAGCCGAGCCCGAGCTTCTGGAAAATCTATCGAGCCGATCCCGAGCTTTGCTTAGCCAAGCTTGCCCGATCCCGAGCCGAGCCCGAGCACCTTTCTGGGAGTGACGAGCCGAGCCCGAGCAACCCAAAACCCGGCTCGACTCAGCTCATTTGCAAGCCTAGGTAAAATTAGGGTTAATTACACTCACACCTCCCTTATTGACAACCAGATGAAAGTTGGCTTATTTTTTAACACTCAAACCCCATGTTAGAATTTTGAACCAAACAGGCCCTTAAAAGGTGAGAAAAGACGATATTGCCCTAAAATAAAATATTAATCTTTAAACTACAATATCATATATGACAAAATCACCCTTACAGAAGAACATAAATTCATAATTTCCTTGCCCCCACCATTGCCATCTCAACCATCCCACCATTGTCACTGCAACCTCCTCCATCACCACCATCACCGGCCGCAACGCCATTATTAACCACATCTGTTTTTACTGCATCATCCACACATACTACAGCATACACAGAGGGAATAGGATAAAAGATATAGAGAGAAAAGATCTAGAAGAAAATCACAGACCCACCGTCGGGAACGTACTGCATCAGGACACCGACGGCGGCGAAGTCACCGGGGAAATTTAAGAAAAGCTATCAACGGGTCATCCCAACGGTGGAAATTCCAAACGACCTTCAAAACAAAACACTCGTAGATCTTTTTCCTTTCTGATTTTCAATTTAAAGAGTGACCGATGGCTATGATTTGAGATTTTCATGGGTTCGATTGGGTTCTTCGTGGGTTCAATTGGGATTGTTTGTGGGTTTGAGTGGGTGGTAGTGATGGTGGTGGGGTGGCGTTGCGGCAGACAAACACTTTGTGGCGACGAGGGGGTTTTGCTATTGGGTCTTACGATTATTGGATTAGATTTGGTGAGATGGGGTAGGGATTTTTGCTTGTTGCAGATGCTGATGGGGTGGTTTTGCTTTTTACGACAGTGGTGGTGGTTGTGGCGTCGAGGTTGCGGTGGTGAGTGGAGAAAGAAAGAAAGAAGAGGTGGGCGGCGGGTGGTGGTGCGATTGCTGTTGAATGGTGGGTTTGGGTTGTCATAGATTAGGGGCGAATGGCAGAGATGGGGCGCTTGGGGAAGAAAATGAGGGTGAGTCTGATATTTATTTTAAAAAAAAATTAAAAATTAAGGGGCACAACCATGGTAGTGGTGGTTGTGGTGGTGTGTCGCTAGTAGAGTTGGCAACCACCCTCTTCTTCTTCCGATCTTCCCCATTCTCTCTTTATATATATCAATATTCTCTCATTCCGATCAAAATATATATGCATAATGTGTACCCTCACTTCCATACTTGCATAAATGATATTCTGATTGATCCTAAGCTTACGTACATAGTAGTTCTGATTTCAATGTCGAAACTCAAAGGTGACCAAAAGATTGCAACTTGATCGGAGAGAATAAAATATGCTAATTACAAAAGTTATACTTCACATTTGTCGCTCTCATAATGGGATAGGTAAACCGGTGCCATTGTGGTAGATGGATATAGAAATGGAGTGAGCTCCTGATTACAAATAGCCGGTTGACTGGTGCATTTTCTGATGTTTGTTTTGTTGGCTTCAAAGCCCTTTACTGTTATTATTCTTTTGGGCCCTAAGCGGGCTGAGCCATTTCTTTATTGGGCTTTGTACTGTTTATACAAAATCTATAAAATTCTTTGAATTTTGAAAAAATAAATAAATTTCAAGGTTAAGAGGAGGTTTGAGATCAATTTTGAAAAATCATGTTATGTCCAACTTTTGTCATAGCTATTGGGCCCTAAGAATTAATGAAATAAGACAATTTGAATAAAAACGGATCTGCCCTACTCATGTAAAAAATGAAAAACGAGCATTATGCTTTCGAATCACAAACTTTACGGTCTAGTTTTATTTTATGGATTATTACATGTAAATAGTGTTAATGATCCATATTTACCATTTGATGTAGTCAAAGTCACATAGTTTTAAAAAAATGAAGTTGACCAAAATGCTAACGTGGATATAAAAAACACTATTCATTCACCAAAAAGTATTACTTTTATGCACTTAGATACCACATTTTGAGCACATAGCTATCATTTTTTCTGCACACATGTATCAACTTTTTATTATTTTTTTTTTACAGCACCAAAGTTGTACCTGATGACAAAATGTGGTACTTGTGTGCACAAAAAATAATACCTATATATCTAAAAGTGGTATCTTTTAGCAAATGAACAATCTTTTTTCATATTTACTGTATTTTGGTTAACTTCATTTTTTCGAAATTACGAAATTTTAACTCAATCAAATGATAAATATAAATCATTAACAACATTTATATGTAACAATCCCTTTATTTTATTTTAACAACGCAATTCCGGGTCCATTGAAATAGCAACATTGCCCGTTTGAAATAGCTTTTAGCAGTTGCTTCGATAAGTGATAACCGCCATTTGAACACAAAACCTAGGCTCAGTTACTGGCTTGCACAATGTGCCAACTCTGGCTTGCACAATGTGCCAACTCTTTTGTTCTAAATAAAAAATAATAAATAAATTTTGCTCCCCTCCCCCCCCCCCCCCCCCCAAAAAAAACAAAAAAAAAAAACACCTAACAAATTATGTGCACACATGCTATAAATATATCTACAAAATATAAGTGCTATTTTTTTGTACTTTGAAGGAAACAGGGAATATATAATCATTGTATGCTGAACTTTTTTTTTTTCTTTTCCGGAAGGTTTTAAAAAGGGGTGCAATTTGTAAGCTGAACTTTGTTACTAGCTAGCAAAATTTGAAGGAGATTATATATATTACTTCATATTACAAAAAACAGCATAGTATGTATTATTCAGTTGTATTGTCATTAGAACCAAGGCTAAGCTAGCTCTATATATATATGAGGGCACCTAAGTATGAAAGTAAAAACATGGTTTATTAATTAGCTGGAAATACAAAGCACAACATCAAACAAATATAGCTCCTGCCCGCCTAAGCATTGGGACTAGGGAACCCTCGACATGACGGCTAGTGACCTCATTAACTCCTCCCACCAGTTCACCACCAATGAACACTACCGGCACGTTATCGTAACCGAGCCTCGATAGAGCCTTCTCCATTTCTCGGCCTCTCTGTATTTGATCGAGGTCATGAATGGCTGGGTTGGCGCCAAAGTTGTTCCTAAAGAAGGTTATGATAGAGTCGGACATGCAGCAAGACCTCTTAGTGAAGATCACTAGAGGCCTTTGAGACACCATTGTTGTTACCCCCTCCATTGATTCCAGTAAATTGAAATACAGACTTCAATTTTTGACTCTAGTAGTAGAGCTTGACGGTTTTAAATGTCAAACAATGATACAGATCAGAAATGTGAGCTGTGAATTGATAATGTAGCCCCATAGGTTTATTTATAGCATGACAAATTGACAACGGTGGTGGATTTTGCATAATTGAGTAAGAGAGAATATTTCCCTCTAGAATTTTCATGATATTGCTGATGGCTAGCTGACAGAGATGGATCAATGGGTAGCGATGCGCAATAAGAGTTGCAAGATAAGGAATACCTATGTACGGATATTGGTACGTCTTCGTATTGCATGGTGACAAATTATATACATATAGAGCCATGCACATACACCTTGCATGCATGTTATGATACTTCTCAATTATAATACTTCTCATAAGTCTATGTTAATTTCTCAATTATATTTAATGCCTCGTCATTTTTCTATGAAATGCAGGTGCAAATATGGGACCATGAAAAATCAATTTACTTGGAAAATAATTAATTCATCGACGTGTCTTATGAAGCATCAAGTTTCGTCATCGATTTTTCTTATTTGCAAACAATTCTTTAGGAGCCACACTCTCAAACATAATCGGAGCGTTTTCCAATTTGCAGGGAAGACACCTTGCGCAACTCCTGTGAATTAGTAGGTGAAAGGCCCAAGACACCCAAAAACAAATATGGAACCATGCATGTACATTGGAATGCATGCATGATAAAGTAGTAAGGAAAATAAAAAATAAATAAATAAAAGAAGATGCATGTATGAAATAGATCAGAGAGGAAGAGGGACAAAGAGGATAAGGTCCCAAGGCACCAGTGTAGGTGGTGAGAGAATTTTAAGCATAAGAAAAAGATGAATGCGTGAGCGGTTCCTAGCATCCCACAATAGGTGAGGTACCGAAGGGTACAATCTCTCTCTCTCTCTCTCTGTGCTTTAGAAGAGGACAGTTGATTGAAAGCTAAGGAAAATATAAAGTTCTCATCTTTACAGCTTTAATAAATATGACACAAATGGACAGAGTCGCATTCAGAAGAATCAGAACAAAGTATATCATTTACAATTGGATAGAAAATGTTAAAAGGATTTCGCAATTTATTTGATTCCACGCGTCGGTACCGTGTGTATGTATGTGCCATCATTATCATTATCCTATTTATCTTGCTGAGCCTAGCACGTGAATGTGCATTAGATTCTTTAGATTTTTGCTCATTCTTTGGATCACAATCTTAGCGATTGGAGTAGGGTCTAATGGGAATTTAAACAAAATCAACTCAAATCGAGTTTTATGAAAAAACGTGCATACCTTTCCAATGAAACTTCCATTGCCTTAATCCCGTGTGAACTCAGTCAGAAATATGAACGTTTTTTTTCCCGAATTATATGCTATCACTCTTATTAGTGGTATATCTAATGTTTACTTTGATAACTAGGATGTTCGGGGTTTTGTCCCGAATAATTTTCTGATGTGTATATTTTGTGTTGGCAAATTTTATTAACAAAATAAGTCCGATCGAGTTATAATTTTTTTATTTACTTCTCAAGATTGAGATCGGAAGCGGGATTGATGGAGTTGTTCATGTTTGATAGCTTAATGATTTCAAAAAAGTAAGAATAACACTTTATGAAGGTTAGTTTGAAGTTTAGGACACTTGCATATTTTTGGAAACTTGACATACTTAATTTTTCTAAGTGTAAACCCCTATTCAGGTCTGACCAACTTTAACCGGTTCAAGGGGTAGCTGAACTGATTTAAGTATTAAAACTTGGAATTCAAAATTCACACTGGCCAACTTGAACCGGTTCAAGGGGTAGCTAAACCGGTTCAAGTCCTTTAACAGATTTTGAAACTTTGTTTCCTTTTCTGTTTCAACTTTCTATTTTACATAGACTTTTTCCTTAAAACTCATGCACGAAACTAAATTGTTTTCCAAATACAATTAGGGTTTCTAAAGTCTATAAAAAGAGATTTTTCTCATTTTAGTTGAGACGACTTTTAGCATCAAAATTCATATTTTTACAAAGCCAAGTCTGTGAGATTTTTCTGAGAGCTACACACTACATACACATGAGTGAATTAGGGTGTTGTTCAAATACTTGATCGAGTTCAAGCTTTTGAAGATTGCATCTAAAACGATTAGAGAAAGCAGATCTTTTACTTTCTACAACAAATTTAGATTTAAAGAAGAAGATTTTCCAATCACACTTTAAAGGGATCAAGGCACTTGTGGAGTGTTTTTATCTACCAGTAATCCTTCTACAAGGTTCAAGGCGTGTAATACGCCGATATTTTAAAAGATTTATTAATTGGGATTAATTACTTTAATTTTATTTTTAAATGATTTGTTTGATTTAATTGGAATTAATTGCTTTTATATTATTTTTAAATGATTTGTTTTATTTAATTGAGTGCTGTTAATTGTCTTATTTTAATTAGAATATCTTTTGTGATTATATTTGTTGAATTGATATGGTATTTTGCTTTGTGGAATACTATGATTGAATTTTTATTTGATTTGTGTGTATTTATACTTGTGTGAATTGTTTGTTAATTATTTGTAATTATTAGATTTAATTTAATTATTTTGTTTTAATTGGATTGGGCTCAAGAGAAGTAAGACCAATGGATGTGGTATTGGGCTTGAAGAAAGTCTTGTTGGATTAATTATTAAAAGCTCATGATTATGAAGATATTTAAATAATTATCTTTGCATAATTATATATATATATATATATATATATATATATATAATTAATTAATAATCATTATGGAGTGGTATATATGTCAATATATATATGGATATATATAGGTATATATGATTTATTTAACAAATGATTATTTATGGAAGGTATTTATATATATAACACAATATATATGTATATGTATATATATATATATATATATATATATATATATATATTATTTGAAGATTATTATTTTATTTGGAAATTATAGTAAGAATAGGATTTGAATTTTAATGTATATAAATATACACATAAGGTTTTATAATTAAAAATTTACACGTTAGAAAAATAAGGGAGACAGATATAGAAGAAGAAGAGAAGGCTAACAAAGAGGAGGCCGGATTGGAGAAAGAGGAAGTCGGAATTGGAAGAGACAATCAAAACTTTAAGCGTTGGTTTCATTTCGAAACCTTCAGGCAAGTTTTCTCCATTTTTTCTCTTAGAACTTATAAGGATTTCACCTTGAGTATCAAGGCTTTAGATTTAATTTATTAGTTAAATCATGGATTTAATCAAAAGCATTAAGTTTATTTTATTTGATTAAATTATGATTAAATCGGAGTATTAAAAACATGATTTATTATTATTTTATTTTATTATTATTATTATTTTTTGGAATTGTTGGATTTTAATTATATATATAGGTTGTATATATTTAAATTCAATTGGTATGCTTGATCTATGACCCAAAAGGGTTAATTAGGGTTTATAGAATTTTTGATATTTTTCTGGAATTTTTTAAAATTTTCTGGGATGTTTCTATAATTTTCTAATTTTAGAATTACATATATATGTATGTTGTTGTACGAACTGGAAGACGCTGGTGTATTGAAGAATCAATAGGGTGTAATCCAATGTGGTACAGCGCATGGAATAATGATGCGCACACTGATTTGGGCTATTAAAGTGCTTTGATGTAAGTGGACTGATCCAATGCATCGCGGCGTATGATAATATGGTGCGCTTGTGAATTTAAACCATGGATTAGGTGTAGTCAACTTAGAAATAATCTAGTGTGGCGCGAACTATCAGAGTTGATGCAGCAGTAAATCATAGTGCGCCACGTGTCGTTTGATGAGCGCTGAAAAGTGCGCTTTTAAACCCCTTAAGCTCGAGTATTCTAGGACCTTTATCTATCTTATTTTTTCATTTTAGAATAATTTTGTGTTATTTCCCTTTTTAGGTCAATAATGTTAAAATGTGTTAAAAATGATTTCTTAAGGCCTTTTTGGAGTCAAACTAAGTCTTGGAGAGAATCTGGAGCAAAAGGAGACTGATTTGGAACAAAAAGGATGCTGATGCTGAAAACTGCCAAGTGAGATAGATCGCAGAAAAGTGAGATCGATCAGAGTTTGATCGATCGAACCCAGATCGATCAAAAGTTAGATCGATCGAACAAACTCTGATCGATTGAAGAAAAGTCTGATTGATCGAAAATGTGCTGGTAGTGAGCTGTCTAATTCCAGAGCGCGCCAATTTCTACCTACCACCTAGTTGTGGGATTAGATATTTTTGGGCTATATTTCTGACTTAGTGACTAAGAAAAGGACCTTGTATTTAAAGGGAATTGAACCATTTTGTATGGGAGCTTTATCATTTTTACTTTTACATTATACTTTTATATTCTCTCTTTAGAAAAGTTAGAGATTAGGGTTAGAAGAAAAGAGAAGAGTGGAGGCTCCAAGAACATATCTCAAGATCTATACACTCTCTCTCTCTCTAGAATTCATCAAAGAAAAAGAGGAAGAATATGGAGCCATGTTTGGAGCTTGCCCTTAAGGATTTCATGACCACATCCACCTCCTCCATGATTGGCTAGATCTACACTTAGGGCTTGGATGAGCCCTAAGTCTTGTATAATTTAAACCCTTGTATTTATATTTTTGGGGATTTATATATATATTGTTGTGATTAGTGCTTAGCCTTGTGATTATTGATTTAATTCTTCCTTATGATTCTCTATTTTAATTACATGTTGTCTTATGTGTGATTATTTGGGGAATTGATCTCTACACTAGATTCTCTATGTTGGTTGCATGTCTATGTGTGATTAATTAAAGATTTAGTGATGGCTAAGCATGAGTTTTCATTAAATGGGTTTGTCAATTAATTTGATGGAATATTCTTATGCTTGATGGGTTGTTCTACAATTTAATTCATGCTTGTAGGTTGGTAGACAATCTATACTTGATTTGATATTCCATGGCTTATTATTGCAAATTCCATGATTCTCTAGATTGATGTGTGCTACAATTGTGACTAGTTCGATGGGTCATGCTTAGATTTGATGGGTTGTTCTACACTTAGTTTATTTGTTGGTTAGGTAGACAATTCATACATGAATTTGATGGTCCGTGGTTAATAT